AAATAATATATTGCGATAATGATCGATATATTATTATATATCGATAAATAATGTACTAACAATGATCGATTATTATCAATATGGATATTTATCGAAGATCATCGGAGTCATCGATTAATATCGATATCTCAGAGAGATATTTATTGATTTTTATAGATATGGCGATGATTCTCGATGAATATCTTCCCAAAAAATTTCCTGATGTAGCTACAACAAGATATCAATTTTTATAGATAACAAAATATTAATCTTTAGAATCAAACTAATTAACTTATTCAAGTATGAGATATCTTGCAAAATCATGTTAACCAACTTATATCAGAATGAGATATCTAGCAAAATCATGTTAATTAACTTATATTAGAATGTAATATCTTGTAGAATTATATTAATTAACTTACTAGAGATCTTAATAATAATCAATAAAGATATAATTTATGAGGATGTTTATAGTTTAATACAAGTTTAATATGAGATAAATAATCAAAACTCAAGCATATTTTTGAAATTATTTATAAGATATTTATTTATCACTTAGAATAAGAGTTATAACAATATTAGGCTGATAAAGAATTATTAGAATATAATTGAAATCAGCTCTTTGATAGATATTATAATAAATTCAAGAACTAAAAGATAAGTTATATCAAGTGAAAAAATAGAAAATACAATTCACAGTAACTAATTTTGAATTTGAATCAACAAATTTTTACACTTCAGAATAATTTATCTATAAATAACTAATATAAAGAAATAATAGATTACATATCAACTAAAGATAACTTCTCAACTATTGCAATATGATAATAAATAAAGCATCATCTAGTTGCAACTAGTTGCAACTTATAAAATTTTGAAGTTGCAATATATTATAACAGGTAACAAATAAGCATCACATATTTGCTATGCTATCTTTAGTATCAATTTTATTTTATGAAAAAGCTAGAGAAGATTTTAAAGAATGGATTAGAGATTTTAAACAATATTATAAAGTATTCAGACTTGATTCACTTGCAGATGTTTGAACTAGAATAAGAATTTATAGACTTTTTGAAACTTATTTGAGAAATGATGTAAAAGATTAATATGAAACTAATTTCAAGAATAAAAATTAGAAATTGAAAATATTAGTGATAATACAGATCTTGCAGATCTTGATGTTATCAATAGATTGACTAATAATAATACATTATATACTATTAATATCAATCAATTTAGAGGTGGAACTCTTCAAATAAGAAATACAGTTCTAGTTGACAATAATATAATTGCTATACTATTGATATTAACATATACTATTTTTGATAAAGATTGATTAATAGCTGATAAACAACTAATAAATTTAACTCTCAATACTCCTAATACTAATACAGGAGGTAATACTATTGCCTCTGGTATTCGTATTAGACAAGTAATATATACTAGCTCAGAACAAATTATTCAATAATTACTGCTAAAAAATCAAAAGTTATATTTAATAATATTACTTAAGAAACTGATCCTATAGGCTGATTCTATGCATAATTAAAAAGAATAGTTATACTTATTTATCTAGTACTTCCATATTAAATTAGGAAAAAATGATTAGATAATAATTCTTTCAAGATTTTTTCTCTGATAATAAATTAGAAGTAAGATATATTAATCTTGAGAATCCAATTTTCACTTTATTATCAAAAATTAGAACAAATTGAAAGACAAAAAGCTGAATTGATATTAGATCAGTATGATCCTAATTCTTATCTAGTCATCTCTCATTTACAATCTAAAGCTAATACAAAAGATTCTTATGTAACAAGTAATACAAATATAACTAAAAACAAAATAGAAAGCTTTGTAAAATTTATTATAGCTTCCATATAATCTCAATCTATTTCTACATAATCAACTCCTCAGCAAATATAACTATCATAATCATCTCAACTATTATAACTATCTTAGCCATTCTAATTTTACTATGGATCACAGCTCCTAGAAATATACCAAACTATATGAGATATAAATATTAGTAGATTTATATAATAAATCACTAGAGAAGTTTCAGAATTTGTTCTCATTTCCAAGTCTGATTTACTTCTAAAATCACAGATAAAAAAGTAAAAGTTAACTCTAATAAAGAACTAGCTAATCTTATCAAAAAATAATTAAAATTGTATGTAGCTAAAGCTGTTAAAAAAGCTATGAAATTCCAATATTATTGCTTAAATTATAATAGGACTGAATATAATTTTTGCAACTGTCCATGAAAAAAAAAGCAGATTCAAGAAAAAAGATAAGATTAATCTTGCTACTATCAACTGTCCATGAAAAAAAAAGCAGATTCAAGAAAAAAGATAAGATTAATCTTGCTACTGTAAATTCAGATTCTGAGTCTGGTATTAGCTCTTCTGATAATGATTCTAATTCTGACTCTGAAACTAGTTCTGATTTTAAATTAGATTCTAATTCTGAGAATAACTTAACTGAGACTGAAATTGTGAAAATTATCAATGTTATTAGGATAGAGATATTTATCACATGATTTTTGATTCATATAAGTGTTTTCCCCCTCCTCCCAGGTGATCAATGTAAAATAGCATCAGATTTATAATACTAATATTAAATATAGTAATGTTAGCATTACAATACAGGTGTTGCAACTACTTTTCTTGATCTCAGTCTTGGTCTTGGGAATAACAGACCATTCCTATGAACTGAATATTAGTAACGTGCTAAGAATTAGTTTGTTACAATGGGGTTTTCTTTGTATAATATGACAATAGATCAAAAATATAGTTTAACTATATAGAATATCAAAGTAATAAAATAAGAATATGTATTTTATTCATTTAGAGTATCAAAGCGATAAAATAAATATATGCATTATACAAATATAGTATTTTATTTATATAGAGATATCATAATAAAAAATAAATATGAGTACAAACTAAATAAGATTAATATAAATATCTTTCCAGGATATCTGCTTATAGGTCGCTTTTATTTTTTTCTCAGAATTAAAGATGTAAACATTTTTGTTCTCACCAAAATTTAATAAGTAATACATATACAAAAACCTCTCAAAATACGTTTAAAAAGTTTACTAATGCATTTGCTTTTTATAAAATGGCATCAACTGACATGCTGCATATTGATAAAAAAGTACTATATGAAGAAAGCAACAAAGAATGATGTTTAGTGAAGACATATTCAAAAAATAAAATTGAAGATATAATTTGTCAGTATCTAAATACAACTATTCAACTGAGAGGATGTCTTACCTCATGGAATTAACAATCTAATTCAACACTACGTTTGCAATAGCAATAGCAACAGTCATAGCCATCCACAAATCAATTGCCAGAAACTGAAGAAATTCATTATAATGCTACAGCACAGTGATCTGCAATTGAAAAAAAAAGAAGCTAGAAAAATTATTAACAGAATTAAAGGTTATAGTTCAAATTACCATGAATCCCAATCTTTTGAAAGATTTTGCTTCACAAATTGTGAGTATAGAAACCTGCATTAAAGATCATGGATCTCATCTAAATAGATTAAAATGCCATGCGATAAGTTAGCAAAAGTTATGGGAAAAGAAAAAAAAACTATTACAAGAAAAGTAATTAGTTATAAAATATGATATATCTGGCCAATCTCTCCTTCTCTATAAATATCCAGATATTCATAACCATATACATACCTGTATCGAATTTGGAGAAGCTGATACTCAAAGATAACATAAAATAATCAAGGTTAGAACAATCAATCATCTTTGAACTGCCTTGGAGAAATAATACAATAAATATCTGTCATGAACAAGTATATAAAATTACATTCTGCCTCATAATAATCGTAGTCTTTCAGCTTGAGCTCACTATCATCCAGCTTTAATTGGAATTATTAGAGTTAATCATGATGAAAAAAAGGACTATATAGATAGTCATTATTGTTTGGCATCAGTCAAAAACATCAGATATTTTGCTATCACTTTTGCTGATCGAGTTGTTATGATTTCATAAGATGACAAGGCAAAAGTGGCTGTTAGAATTTCTGCAGTCAAAAGATATTTTGAAATAATGCAAATAGTTTTTGAATCTGTATCAGTTTCTGATCATGACTTTCCCATTGATACATCACAAAAATTAATACCTTCTGTGTATTTATTGATCAATCCAAAAGAAACCAATAAGTCATTGCAAGCTGGCCAAATGGTAATTTTCATTAGAGCATAATGGCATCTTGGTTTTTCCTCTATTACTCACATAACAGATATCTTGTCCTTGGTATCCAACAAAAATTTTGCTAAAATCTTCAAGTATAGAGATGAGATTAAACTAATGTGGATTCTTCTTGTGGATGGTGGATCAAATAAAAATTCTCGCTATCTAAAAAATATTAATCAGTATTGCAAGTTATTTTGGCATTTGAATTTGGATTATTTGACAATTCGTACTCATGTTCCAGGCCAATCAGCATATAATCCAGTAGAACAAAGTATGGTGACATTATCTAGAAAAATTACTGGAATTACTTTACCAATTGATAAATTTGGCAATTATTTGGATTCTTAAGGAAAAGTGTGTGATCATGAGCTTGGACTTCAAAATTTTCATTATGCTGGTGAAAAGCTTGCTGATTTGTGATGAAAGGATTCTATCTATGAAAAATCAGTATTTGTTAAATATATTGATGAGCCAAATACTTCCTTGTCTGATATTTTATTTCCAGACAAAGAAACTATATCACAAAATGAAATAGAAGATTATGATATACCTGTTCCATAATTATAGATCGAAAAGTACTGTGTAATTTGTCAATACTCTTTGGATATTTGAAAATGTGTGGATTTATCATGTTGCTCTTCCAAATAAGATGAAGAGGCTGCTGCAATATTGAGTATAAATGATGGTTTTTTGCCACCAGTAATGAAGGAAAGAGACAGCTATTTTTTAAATACTATTCACATTCTATAATATTTTGATTTGTTAAAAATTTCTGAATATAATGCTCACCTTCCATCTCTTTCTATGGATGCTTATGCTAGATGCTATTGTTCAGTTTGTAACAAGTATTTTTCAATAATTTCTTTTGTTACAAAGCACAAAAAGTTTACCCATCCTAGTACTCAAGGCAGATGGACTAGTAAATAGCTTTGAACAAATGCAGCAACTAATGATGATTTTTCTATACTTCCATCTTCACATACAATTCGTGAAGTTTTTGCAACTGACTGTATATCAGATGATGAGATAAGCTGATTAATAAATTCTTATATTTTGATTGGCTACTATTATATAAATAGTATTATGATGTAAAATAACATAATGATGCAAAATCACATGATGATGCAAAATCACATAATAATGCAACAAATTTCTATTAATTCTATTGGCTACATTAGAGGTGATTTTGATTAAAACTTCCTTCCCTCCTTAATAATCACATGATAAATGTCTCTACCCTTAAATCAAAAAAAAAGTAAAGTGAAAGGATAAATCATTCTCTAAAAAAATACCTAAATCTTGTAAAACTAAACAAAAAGATATTTTTATTTCTAGTAAAGGTAAAGTCCTATTACAAAATAATAAATCTCAAAATAAAGTGACTATTCTTGAACAGAATATTCATTAAATTTTGTTAGATATGCTTAAAAAGATCTTACTCCCACATCAGTTAGAGAAACTTAAAACTGAAAATAAATATTTAACTACTCCAGATTTTATAAATCATCAAGAATTAATTCCAGAAATATCTGATTCAGAGGAAGAGGAAATGCTAAATGATCTTATGGAGATAGATTTTATCTGCTAAAAAGAATCTAATACAAGTATTATGACTATACTAGTTAAAATTAAATGCTTAAAAATTTCAATATTAGTATTAGATAGTGATATTGAACCTGTAATTATATCAGAAGATATTATTAAATATATAGATAGAAAAATAGATAGATTAGAAAAATATGATCTTAGTGATATTACTACTATTCTAATAGAATCTGTTGGTATTACTAAAGATAGCTCCTCAACTAGTTGTGATTTACAATAGCTAATTAAAGAATTGTGACAGAGTTATGACAGCCAATCAGAGAATTATGACAGAATTATGGCTAGTTGTAGCTCCCATTACTAGATATTACTTATAATTTGCTAATAATATTTTCTCCAGATTTTACTATATGTGAAGATTTTGTAGTTATATAAGTTTCTAAACTGATATTAATATTTCCAAATCTGCTTCTTAAAAAATATAAATATGTTGTAGACTGTAGTAATGATAAAATAAAAATTCATTATAATAGAAAAGATTTTATTATTTTGATCACTATGCACAAAGTCAAGAATAAACTTGAAATAAATTATACTATTATATCTCAGAATAATAGGGATAAAGTTCTATTACTTTGTAATAAGTCTTTGATATCTGATCAACTTTCTCAAGAGATAGATAGTAATGCGAGTAATAATGATTTATTAAAGGAATAGTATATTTCTATGGATTTTAGTCTAGATTCTGATAATTTAACTTTAAAAAAAAATATATGAATTATGAGAGAACTATCAAAATTATTACTAAGCTTAATATTCATAATAAACTTTTATTATTAAAATATAAAACTATGAATAAAAAGATAACTAATTAAAAATTACTATAGTTACTTTATAAATATTTAATACATAATCTAAATATTCTATTTATTTCTCTTTCTCATTTAACACTTATTTAAGTGAGATATCAATAATAGTGATTGAATCAGAAATTTAAAGAGATTTGAACTTTGATCACCTCTTTTTTATCTGTTTATCTAAGGTATTATCTGAAGTATGTAGGCTTGAAGAGCTATAATTCAAAAAATCATCTAATAGTCTATCTTGTAATAAAGATATATAGTTATTTTCTAATTGTTTATTTAGAGATATTAATATTATTTCAGAAAAAATTGCACTTTATATCTGAGATGAATAAGAGTATATCATTTATTATTTACATTTCTGATTCTTAATATATTTTTTGACCTGAATATAGGATATATAATATTTTTTTATCATGGTATTAATAGTATCAGATACTCTATTAAATGATATTTTAATTTCTTAATTACTTCATCTGATAAAAATCTTGCATTAGTACTATAATATTCTTTATAAATATGATCTATATTAGAATATTTTTATTTATGAACTATTAAAAAAATAAAGAAAAATTTCAAAATATTTTGCTATAACTTGATATATATTAATATATTTCAAAATATTTCAAAATATTTATGTATACTTCAAAATATTTAAAAATTTTTTAATATGTGTAAATATTTATATTAATTATTTATCATATCTATAAATTTCCATATAATATAAATATGTGTATGTAATATATAATATTTTCTAGTTAAAATCAATATTATATTTTGCATATCTCTATTATTTATTATCTCACAAATTATTTTAGATGGAAGATATGTTTTATTTAATTAAAATCTCATCTTCTTACACTATATACTTGAAGCCAGATAATAATAGTTTTTGATTATATAATTATCTTTAGCAAGTTAGATATAAAATGTTCTGCTCTGCAGACTATATATTTTTTTTGAACTTGAGAGAAAAAAAGAAAATTTTATGATTTATCTTATTTTTATTACATATAGTTTAGCCAAAATATATAGTTAATGCACAAGATAAAGAATTTTGTATTATAAAAATTATATCTGGATTAAATTCTTATAATAAAAAATTATAAGACAGATATATAAAATAAGAGTGAAATTTTAATCATGAATAGAGAAGTTGAAAACAGAAGAGAAAAAAATGAAGTCAGAAACTAGATGGATCTAATGTTATGATTCAGAAATTATATACTAATGATCTCAAACTTATTGATAAAGCTAGATATTTATAGATTAAAAATACCAATAAAGATATTTTTCTTGTAAAGTCCAAAGCTGAGAATGATATAAAATCCAAGAAAATTAGATTACTTGAGTTTATGATTAAGATATTGAAAGATAAGTTATCTTCAGTCCAGAAAGATGTGATTTTAATTTAAAATAACTTATTAAAAAATGAATTTGAGATTTTATCTCTCAAGTTTAAAATAATTAAAGTAGAAAATATAAAGAGTGAATTGGAATTAAAGATCAATAAACTTGAGTATCTGAAATTAGAGAATTATCTAGACATGCAAGTGCTATTGTTCCACAATATGGTCTGCTCTGTAATAATTGATAGAGATGAGAAAAAAATATAACCAAGTCTGATAATATATCCAAAGCAATAATACTTATATATTTAATAAATCTAGTAAAAATCTAAGTAAGTATTTTATACATAAAAAAAGTATATATTAAATCAAAAAAATTGATAATAGTATCTTGACATATACTAATGATAAAATTATTAAACTATCAAAAAATGATACTGAGATCAACTTTAAGATAAATAAGAGAACTAACATTAGCAAAACTAATAATAATATACTTCAAGAAATACTGAATATAACTTCTTATTTTGCATAGTCAGAAAATAA